TTGTTCGCGCCGAGTTGTGGGTGGGAGGCCCGCCCCCCGGGGAGGCCGGGATTGGCCACTCCACGACCAGCCTGGAAGGCACTCGGGCAGCCATGGTGCCTTTGTCTCCCTGTCCAATCTGGCCACCTAATCTCTCCCATCCATTCATCTCTCCCAGTGCTTCCTGCTTGTCCGTGTGCCTGCTGCAGCCTCTCACATTACAATAGAGCCAGGCCTCAATGGCTGTTGCTCAGAGAGCAGAGAGAGTCCCATCTGGACCACAGGAGAGACCGAAGAGAGGCAGGGGGTGGACAGAGTGAGGGCGAGAGTGGCTGACCAGATTTATTTTAGCTGAGGCCAAATACTAGCTAAAAGAGTTACTTTCTACCTTGATGCAGCAGGATTCATTTTCACAAAGAAAAACTGCAGACAAAGTAACTCATGCTAAATTTGTGATGGTTGTTTCAAGCAATGAAATGTTTCAGAGATCATAAAGCACAGGCAGTAACACTCAGGCTTCTTACAGAGATCAGAACATCATTGACACCAAGGAGACTGTGTTGACTGACTGCTAAACGCACGCCTTTAAGCCATGAGCAGTCAAATAATCGACTAGTCAATCAACAGAAAATTACACAGCAACTATTTCAGTCAATTTTCAAGCAAAGACAGCATGAGATTTTCTGGTTCCAGTTTCTCAAATTGAGGATTTTGCCACTTTTGTCAGTGATATGTGACTGACAAATATTTCGTTAGGATTGTTTGGATAATACAGTAAATCTGAAGACACTATCCTGCATACTGGAAAATTCTAACAGACATGTTGTATATTTCACATCTTACATCAATTAACTGTAAAACCATTAACCATAAACCTCCTGCATCCTCGGACTGTCCTGTAAACAATAATACCATTAACCATAAACCTCCTGCATCCTCAGACTGTCCTGTAAACAATAATGCATAGAGTTTGTCAGATTTTGTTGGTTCCAGTGGTGTTTTAGCTGCTGATGTTCCCCCAGTACATCACAGTTCACCCCAACCCCCCTTTTTTAAAACTTATTTATTCCTGGTGACTCCACATCTCTGTTGTTTGGGGGTGTATGATAGCAAACCACGCCCACAGGGTCGACGCTGCTACAAGAGTCTGTGCACCAGTGTCGTTGCGCGTACTCCTCCACGCGACAGGCGCGTGGCACGCCGGCGAAGAAGAGCAGAGCGCGACCGGTGACTGCTCTGGATGGAGGAGAGCGACAAGTTGCCTGCGATACTCGGGTGTTGTGGCTTCCACGAACACGGACTGTGTGTGACACCAGCGGAGTTCAAACTGTTTTGTGTCAAAAGTGCGCGGTTTGTACATTCAGGCTCAAATTTGGGAAATTAAAAGTCTACAGAACAAATCAAGAAAAGTGAGTTAAAATTAAGCAAGAAAGAAACAAAGCCATTTAGGCTGCACCTATTTAACTCCTGCAGGAATTTAAATCATGTCGGTGTCGGCTTCTCAGGACGTTTAATGAGACTTCATCAAACTTTTAATGCGTTTCCTCTGTAATTTATGGTCTGCAATCGTTTGGTAGGCTATATTAGTCCTTATAAAGAGTCTACAGTATATTGTCGAGTAATGAAGTGTTACTGAAAAGGCAGACAAAACGCCATTCTGGTAACATTTTAGGCGCATGGGCGCACATGCTCCACTTTTAACTTAAAGACAGAGAGCTCAAAATATAATCATTTGGCATGAGGTAGAAACGGGTAAATAAGATTTCGAGTGAGTCTAATATTTACTGCAAGAGTAGAGTGCATCTGCAGGAAGGGGGATCAACAAGTTGACCGGAGCCCAGACAGTCCGACGCCGGGGCTGCAGGGCGCACTTCAGCTGGCTGCCAGCTCCGCTTTGTTTTCCGAACCTTATCTCCTGAACCCAAACTAATAGGTCGGTGACCGCGAAAAGACAGGGGGATAGGGAGGCTTTTATTTGCTCGCCCGAGACTGTGGAATGTCTTTGAGTCTTGGAGGGCCAAAAGAAACTTTAGAGAAACTTCAGAAATGACTGGTGGGTGTTTGCTAGAGTGTGTGGGCTGCATGGGAAAAGTTTGTTTGGTCACAAACTTTTTTTTTTTTTTAGATCCTGGCCCCTGAAGGCACAGCCTATCCTAAGTAAATAAACCTCGGCCATTGGTAAAGTCTGACAACATTATACTGGGTCAGATTTAGCTGAGCTTGGTCACCATAATGCCACATCTGGAAACAACTGTGAAACACCCAGTGATGATAGAATTATCCTAAAACAAACAAGTGGCATGAAAACTAAAGTTGACTTAGGTGAAACTTTTGTTTCATTACAGTGATGAAACCACCAGGCTTAAAGTCAATTTAGCTTTTTGCCTTTTTTGTACATTCTTTCACCCTTTTATAAAAAAAATACATTTTTTCCTGAAATAGACCTGTGGATGACTCAAAACTCTAATGGTTTAATATCAGAAAAAGATGCAATTTATTTAGCACAATAATGTAAAGGTTAGGACAGTAACAGAGGCAAGGAACTGGTGGGTTTCACTGGCTAAGTATGCAGCATGTTACTTAGAAGTCAAAGAAGGCAAATCTAATGTATTAAAAATAAAAGTAGGCCTATAGTGCAGACAAATTACCCTTAAATTGGATTATTGGTAGGCTATTATTACTGAAGCATTAATGCTAAAGTAAAAACTTACTGTTGTAGCTGATCATGGTGTTGCTATAGTTCATCTTATCTGTTTTTGTGGGGCTACTGTAGGGTAGGGACCTATAACTGCATTATTTAGAAACTCATGGTTTGCAGGCAACTGCAATCTGTAAAATAACTGGGAACTGAAGCTGTCACATAAATGTAGTGGAGTAGAATGTTGGCTCAGAAAAGTTATGGAGTTGAAGTAGCCTAACATGACCTGGAAACAGCCTATTCAAATAAACTACAAATGCCCCACTTTGTACTGTACTAATAGCCGAATAGTAGCCTCATGAGAACAGCCAAGGCGTTGACTGGGGGAATCTGATCGGCCACCCCTTGTGCCACCCCTGCCAGAGTGAAAATGTGATATTTCTCAGTATTAGTGAATGAAAAATGAAAAGCAATGAAAAATTGTTGCTTTAAATACAACTGTTTGTCAAATTTGTTTTATTTAAAATGATGTATTCAGCGTGTTGTTTGCAGTAATTTCTCCAGCAATGTTGTTGTGGAGTACTTGGCATGATTTGACTGAGTAGGGTGAGAATCAGTGCAGCAGTCACGTCCCTGGCCGGGAGTAAATAAGGAGCGCAGCCAAAGTTAGGTAAAGAAAGCACTAGTCTCATTTTTACACAAAATAAACCATCTGATTCTTAATCATGTATGGTTTATTATTTCATAAAACCAAAATCAGATGTTTCATTTACTTGTTACTTGTATTTCATATGTGCCACCCATCACTGAATCTGTGCCCCCAGCCTGCCACCCTGTCCAAAATTTTCTGGATCTGCCCCTGAGCAGCCTACTTGAGTAAATATACTTCATTACATGGAGGGTTTTTGTGAAAGGGGCTCCTGTATTGCCCCCCCCCTCAACATGTAGACCATAAAGTATAGCACAGTAAGCCTGCATGCGGACCCTGAAAGCACCACGGTACCCGCAGCAAACCAAGAACCTTCCCAGGTTCAGCCCCAGTTGATCAGCTGAGAACCACCTCTGATTGACAACCCCGAAATCCCGTCTCCATGGAAACCGCCTCAGCGGCGCCGCGAGGGCTGGCTGGAGGGCTACAGTGAATGGGGTGACGTCACGGCGCCAGAGAGTCTGCTCCAAAGACTGGGAGAGAGTGAGGGAGAACGGAGAGAGAGAGGGAAAGA